CACATAATTAAGTTTTTTTCTAAAGGAATTAATTGAAATTAAAAAATATTTGCACAGAATACTCCAGAGAAATTGTGGCTAGCTGCAGCATTTACTGTGGGACATCATCTTCGCAAGTTAGAGAAAGAGGGGAAAGTGTTGCAAGAAGAAAGTGGCTGGCGGAGAATTAGAAACAAAATGTAGATAGGTGTATCATATGAAGAATTTTTGTATAACAAATACTTTTTTTTTCTTTCACAGATTCGAAAAATCTTTTTCAGGATTAAAGTATACGCGTTAATATGTGTTTGTGAAGTGGAGTTTTTGGTCGAAAACGACTAAAAATTTCGAAATTGATATATTTTTTACTATTTCTTAGTGTATAACATGACGTCTCAAGCTATCAAGTCGTGACATTTGCTTGATAAGAAAGTTTTGTAACCTATACTTACAAAATATTAGGTTGGGAGAAAAGTTCTTCGTATTTAAAAAAATCTTTTTGCAAAAGTTTTTCATTTGTTGCAATATTTTCGTTACAATTATATCATTAGAACAAAGTTTCAGTTTTAAGAATTTGTTTTTGAAATTGCAGTATGATGATTTTTATCGAAGTCAGAATGTTCCTTTACTTCATTCGCGAATAACTCAGGAACAAAAAATCATAAAAACATTTTTAAAAATGATTTTGTAGGGAAAGCTTCAAGCTTTGACGATAGGTAGTCGAAAGTTTTCGTAAATTTTTTTTTTTTTGGGCACGTAAGATCCCCAAAATAAAAAGAAAATTTTTTAGCTCGTAGTTTTTTAAATTTAAAAATTACCAAACTCACAAAAACTCAAAAAATATAGTAACCTTTTGAAAGTAGAGATTTCAAGCTTTAAAACCCTTTTTTTAAATTAAAAATAAGTGTTTAGAAAGGTTATAAGTGTTATGAACTAAAAAAGTAAATGTGTAAATACACGAAACAAATATAATTATCATGATCCAAAGCAAATAACAAATAACAGACGTCGTTTCGAGTCCGATCGGGTTATCTCCTTTTTTTAAATTTAAATTTCGTTCATTTTTTACGAAGATATTGTATATACAATTTTGAATTAAAAAATACAAAAAATTGTTTCCCCAACTCAATAGTTATCCACAAACACATAGTTCGCATGAACAAATAACATCGAGTTGTTAGAATTAGATTTAGACGCTTTATCGCGACGAATTTGTTATACAAAAATTGACGGACGTACGACTGCGTGTATTATAGGTTATATGAGATATTGTATATCAAGACATATTAATGCGCTTGAAAAACAGCGATCTCTAGTGACGTCGTCGGAGTTCGAGCTTCGCTTTAGGATTCCCTTAAGGAGCCAAAATAAAATTTTGATTGAAAACTTATTATATAAAATGTTAATTCTGGAAAGAAATCTTAATTGTATTTTATGTATATAAATATATAAATATAATTTAAATATATTATATTAATAAA